TTCAAAATGATTTTTATGCACCAGTGTTTGGAATTAAGATTATAAAAGATCGGTAAAGTAATCTTATATACTGATTCGATATAATTAAAAACACACCTTTCCATTAATTAATAGCTCTTTGTACAAAATTGACATTATACGCGATCACAAATACTAGCTTTGTTTATGGCCACAGGTGGCTAGTACACTGGTGACCTCGATCAACAGCGTGGGATTCGCGCGTTGGGTTACATAACTAAACATCGAGCTGAACATGGAGACCGTAATATGCATACAGCTAATGATCGTGAATTATTCAATGCATACAGTTTAAAATCACTTACAAAGTTTGTTGTAATAATAAACGTAGAAAGATAGATTTAATATTCTCCGCTTTTGAACACTATTAATCTAATTTAAAAAAGAAGAAAAGAAAGACTAGTTGTAATAAATAATTTAATAGTGAACCATAAACCACGTTTTAAACCTTATTAAAAAGAAAATTAACATTAAATACCGCAGGGTATATTATTGATAGCAAGTCTGTTTAAGTTATACACATGAAGAGGTCTGATTTCCTTGCCGAATGAAAAACGTTACCTGTTTACCTGGCCTGCTTTCTAATACGTATTACGCAATACCCATGGTATACTCGAACAAAACAACATTTTCATTAGATCAAAAAGGTGTAAAAGAACAATTTTGTTCCCAAGATCCAGATCGAAATATTTACCGTTTTTGAGTTATAAAGCAAAAACTTTTAAGGGCCCAAGATCCCTAATCATAGGGGCCAGCCCCTTTTAAATAGTATGATATGAAAGCCCTTGCAATTATGCACAACTTTTGTTCTACATGTCTTAACAAAATATTTCTAGTTTTCAAGATATAAAGGAAAATATGTCAAATTTTTTGCTCTTTTCCGCGTTCTAACTTTTGACCCCTCTCTAGCGCCATTTTTAATGCAAAAATCAAAAAACAAAAACCGATGTGCACAACTTCAATGCTTCCTCTTTTCAATTTCAAAGGGTTTTGTGCTCCAATTATAACCATTTCTGAGCCTTTGTCTGGAAATCGGAGGCATGCTAAATTCAATCAAAGGGGAATAACTCGTGAACAGAAGGTAATTTCCGAATTGTATTACGGTATTCTGACGGTGTTTTGTAAAGTCTAAAAGCTCTGAAAATTTGAACAAAATCTGTTTAAAAATGAGGAAGATATGAAGCGTCAAAGTTGGCGTCAAGGAAAAAAAAAAAAAGAATAATAAGAATAATCTTAATCATCACAATCAGTAGAAGGTCTTCCGTTGGAAACGGAAGACCTTAATAATCTTAATCATCACAATCAGTAGAAGGTCTTCCGTTGGAAACGGAAGACCTTAATAATCTTAATCATCACAATCAGTAGAGGGTCTTCCGTTGGAAACGGAAGACCTTAATAAGCTTCAGTCCAACGTCCTAGTATTGTGCAAAAGTTAATATAATGTTAAGATAATTTTTAGCAATGTTCCGTTACTGTTCCTGTATCGTCGTCCCAAGATAGATAAACATCCTGGTAGCTTACATTGTCCTTAATCCGATTACTAGGTTTGTTTACTTTTACGGAAAAGTCTTACACTTTCATATCCCGATTGGATTATAGGTCAGTGCACTCTATCTTAAGTACATTGTAAAAAGTTTAATATGTTTATTTTCTGATTAAAATAATTGTCTCAAACCCCATAGGTTTACATTCGTCCCCATGTAATTAGAAATTTCTGCAGGAAATTTCTAAATTGAAACAAGACAATTATTTTACCATGATTCACAGTAGAAAACAAACAACATTAATCCTTCACAAGGACGGAAGCACTGAAACACGGTTCACATGAGTAATCACACTCATGCTCCTAATAGTCATTGGATGTAATGGGTTTTTCTGGGCTTTCTCCTTCTTCTTCAAATTTGTGTCACTGCTATAGAGTTCTCAAGAGCATTAAGGTATATTGTGGATTATACAGTTATAGTATATTAAATATGGATATACGTTTTCACTTTTTTTTACTCAAATTGGATGTGTATTATGGAATGAATACTGTTCGGCTCTTTTGTTTAGGCAGGACTGTTGGTGATGCAAGTTGTTACGCATTATCAGTTCATGGAATGGAAACACTCCCAGGGATTATAAAGAATCATCAGTATACCTTGTGCGTCTCATTTAAGTTCAGTCTCACACTTTACATTCTCGTACATCAGAATTTGTAATTTACTCAAATATTGATGAATCCGTGAAATAATGCAACAGAAATCAGTTATATCATTAGTTTCCAGCGTTTTCTTCATCTGTAAGCATCGTCTAAATGACTGCTATCACCTGTCGTATTCCTCATTTCCACGACTTCTTGTGATTTCCACAGTCGGTATTCTTAAAACATAAACACGGTACTATCTTTTTCACAGTCGCATTCTCTAAGCGAATTTAATTCAGGATCAGTACAAAAACACATATAACGGACCCACCAACACTGGATCAGACGTTATCTCCGCCCTTGGTTTCAGACCAACGTCATAAAAAAATAAATGCCTCAAATGGGGTCTACGATAAAATCCAATGTTTGTTGATTATTGTTGCATTATTGTCAGACTTCGGGTCAAAACTTCAAAACAAATTTAGTCAATTTTCGAATTCCATTAAAAGTGTGACAAGGAATCTGACGTTAACTTCATTACCATTTTCTCCTGCCTGCCATTCAAGATATTTCACTCTAGAAATACTTATAAGGAGCGAACAATACTCATTTATACGTAGTATGTACATTCCATAAAGAAAAATTCTTATTTTTGTTAAATATTTCAATTTTGTTGAATTTTTGAAATTTTCCTTAAGAAACAGAAATAACTGAAGATAATGAAAACGATTTTGGACGATTTTTTTCCATTTAAAATCAGTTGATTTATCAACATGATCAATCTTGTTTTAACAATGCAAAATATAAGCCAAAATGTATAAATATTCCTAAATAATAAAATTTCAAGTAAATGCAGAATTTGGTCAGGCTACAGATACTTCTGGTTCAGAAAGTTTTGTCCTACCTTGCCACACTTTCCTTCCGCGTTCGACATCTTACAGTACTTCGCTGATCCTGGTCACGGGCACCAAATTGACTTTGTAGATGTAAGCCAATGAAACCAAAATGTTTTTCAAAGAGTTTTATTAACTGAAAGTTGTGAGTCTTACAGAGGATCGTATAGTGGCTCTCCTAGCGTCTCTCTTGAAGTACGCCGTAGATCGTATTTTATAATGTACAATGCATAATATTCATTTACATATGAAACAAACAAATCAGATTCAAGTAAACAAGTTATACAATAAATTTGTACAAAATCCTGGAATTTTATAAAATAAATTGTAATTGAAACATAAACTTTAATAAGCTTCAGTCCAACGTCTTAGTATTGTGCAAAAGTTAATATAATGTTAAGATAATTTTTAGCAATGTTCCGTTACTGTTCCTGTATCGTCGTCCCAAGATAGATAAACATCCTGGTAGCTTACATTGTACTTAATCCGATTACCAGGTTTGTTTACTTTTACGGAAAAGTCTTACACTTTCATATCCCGATTGGATTATAGGTCAGTGCACTCTATCTTAAGTACATTGTAAAAAGTTTAATATGTTTATTTTCTGATTAAAATAATTGTCTCAAACCCCATAGGTTTACACTATGTATTACACAAAAATATTATTTCTATGTAAACCTCATATTTTCACACCTTGATAATAGATAATTTATCTTTCTTTTCACTGTCTCAAATTTTCTTCATATCATGATTGGACATAAAATTAATTTCTGAAAAAATAAGCCTCGCTTCATTCTACAAACTTTTAAAATTTGAATATAATGCTTTTGTTGTTAATGAAAATCAATGCTGGGTATTTATTTTTTTTAATGAAATTTAGAACAGATGGACATAAGACTTAAACTTAGAATATATCTTCCTCATGTATTATTTATGTAATTCATACCAATAGAAATAACCTTTAAAATTCATACCAAAAGTTATTTCCCTACTTGATGACATGTTTAATGTAATACAACAAATTTGACAAGAAGGGAAATTTAACATTTTGGGATGTTGATTGAGTGGAATGGAATGCATGTATTTGTTTCCTCACATCAATTTTGCTGTTTAGATACCTACGTGAAATCATTTAGAAATACATTATTTTTTTTGTATTTTAATGCTAGAGTTTTATATAATTTTTTTCAGTTTATTAAATACTCAGAGTATTTCGATGTAGCCTTCGCATACCATTGCATTCGTTCAGAACCCTGGAAAACATATTGAAAACATTTCAAGTACATAGGAAGAACATTTCCTATTCAGTCATAATTAAGCTATATATTAATTTGCATCCATATGACATAATCTGGCAACAGGTCAGGACCAGGACGTAGATTGACAGTATACTACCAGTAACAGTATTTTGAGAGTCAAAGTTAAATTTACGGGTAAGACGTATTAATATAATATAATATAATATAATATAATATAATATAATATAATATAATATAATATAATATAATATAATATAATATTAATATAATATTAATATTAACATATTAATTTACCATTTAATTTTTTTCTTCTGTTTTTCTGTCATTACCAATTTTCTAGATGTATACACGTATTAATAAAAATTGAGGGTCAATGCACATACTGTAAAATCGCTGATTTTTGAGGTTAGCTGAAAAACTGTAGGTTTAAGGATATTTGATTTAGTGGTTTAAGAAGTGTTCTTGATTTGAAATTTCAATGCTTCTTGGTGCAAAAGATCTTGCGGGTATATCCTCGTCCCATGAAAGCATAAAAAATTAAAGGCCCATGAAAATAAATGATTTCACTGCAGCTTAGTTTTTTAAAGTATATGTTGAACATGCTAAATTTAATTTCATTCCTTCGAACAAACTTTAGTATAAATCCTTCTCCATTAATTGTAAATTCTAGTGACAGTGTCATCTGATGAAGTGACGAAATCCGACATGAATCGCCGTTACAGTGCCCAAGACATCCTCCTCTGTGACTTGTGTCAAACAGCCGCCTTACAGAGTTACTGTGAACTTTGTCATGTTAATCTCTGTATAGTCTGTGTAGGAAAACATCTCTCTGATTCATCCAAAAGACACAATGTTGTACCATACAAACACAGAACGTCTACTCTTAACTACCCGAAATGTCAAAACCACAACCAGAAAATTTGTGAACTTTACTGTGAGAAATGTGACATTCCTGTCTGTTCTACCTGCATCTCCTCTGGTAAACATCACAGCCATGTTATAGCAGAAATTCTACAAAAACTCAGCTCCAAAACAGAAGATTTAAAAAAGGACTTGAAAGAACTAGAAAAAAGAATATGCCCAACATACGAAGAAATTATACTAGATATAAAGTCTGAAAAAGCTAACATTGAAGAAGGTTATCAGGAACTTACAACAGCTGTCACCAAACAAGGAGAAGACTGGCACAGAAAAATTAACAACATTGTCAATGAACAAAAATTTGAAATTAATGAAATGAAAGTTAGACATCTGGATGCTCTAAATAAACAGGAAAATAAAATAAAACAGATTACTTCTGATGTAAAAAAGAGAATTTTTGATCTGAAGAAATTGCTAGAATCGAATGATGTCTCCATTACCTTTGCATACAAATCCAGAATTGCTGAATTCAGAAGTTTACCACCTAAAGTCAATGTTTCATTACCAAGTTTCTCTCCACATCAGATCAACAAAGAACGGCTCTATCAAATGTTTGGTTCTCTGTCAGTATTATCCATTACAACAGAAGAATATGGCTACACAATGAAGGCACAAGAAGCTGTATCCTGTCCTCTAGTCAAACCACTGCTTGATGAACCAGAGCTCATCACCACGATAGACATCGGATATGAACGACTTTACAGTGTTTTCTGTCTCAGTGATGAAGAAATCTGGATTCGTGGAAAAGGCAGCATCATGAAACTCTACAACCTCCAGGGCAGATTGCTGAAGTCAGTCAAAACCAAGTCAGCTAATGATCCACGTGACATAACAGTGACAAGAAATGGAGATCTTATTTATACTGACTCTGAAGCAAGATCTATAAACATAGTGAAGAATAAACAGATACAGGAAGTGATCAGAATACAGGGGTGGAAACCTTACTATGTCTGTAGTACCTCCTCTGCTGACCTCCTGGTAACCATGGTCAGTGATGATAAAGAACAATCAAAAGTTGTCCGTTACTCTGGATATACAGAAATACAAACCATTCAGTTTGATAGTGAAGATAAACCGCTGTATTCAACTGGTTACCATAAATACATCAGTGAGAACAGGAACCTGGATATCTGTGTAGCTGACTATGAAGCCAGTACAGTAGTGGTGGTTAATCAGGCCGGGAACCTCCGGTTTCGATACACAGGTCATCCCTCTACTACCAAGGTATCCTTTGTTCCATTCGGTATCACAACAGACAGCCGGAGTCAGATCCTCATATCTGACCATAACAACCACTGTATCCACATCCTAGATCAGGACGGACAGTTCCTCCGTTACATTGATAACTGTGATTTATACTTTCCATTGGGTTTGTGTGTGGACACCAGAGACAACCTCTTTGTGGCTGAATGTTTCAGAGATGTAGTGAAGAAAATCAAATACATGTAAATACTTCATTGACCATTCTATGTATTAGACAGATACCAAAGACTGGGATATACATTGCAGACTTGTAGTTTGTTATTATTAATAATTTTATTTTAAAAGTCGTTCTTTTCCATAGGGTTTATTTGACAACGTCTTTGTTGCTGTGTGTGACAATAACGAAAAATTAATGAAATAAGATTACTAGTAAGTAATTTATTAATAAATTACGTTTTTTGACATAAATTTAATTTGATTAAAAAAAAAAAAAAAAAAAAAAAAAAAACTGTAGTAGTGCCCGAAATCAAAGAAATGCCGCGGACATTACGATCGTCATCAAAAAATTATCAGCTCAGGAACACATATTAATCTTGTACGGGTGAAATTAATGACAATTTAAAATCCAATACGTATTCAAGGCATATCGATGTGTCGTCTTCTGCAGTCTTAACACTGTGCAACTGATTAATGACGACTTTTATAGCTAAATGGGATTGTTCCCCGGACCACCCCACAACTTTTAACTCCGTAATTTTACAGATAAAGCAATAACATAGACAAATGATTTTCCTATTTTAAATTCATAAAAATGAATTAATATATCTGTCACAAATAAATTGAAAATAATTGTGACCTAATTCGTTTCTCTATGGAGGAAACTAAATTATAAGCAGCCTCGGCTGATAAAGCCCTCGGTTTTATAAATCAAAACAACATTTCTCCACCTCGAAGGTTATCCTGCAACATTCACAAAAACGCGAACTTTATTTCTACAGATGAAACAAACAAACTTTTATCACAAATCATGAAAATAACAACTTAATCGTGTTTATATAAGTGAAATAAATAAGCTTATGCTTAGTTTTTTATTTTTTCATTCCAAGTTTCATATTAATGGGATTAAAAGGGACAAAATGGATTGATAAGGATAGTTGCAGAAAGGTAGAATTTTGAACATAATAGAAAGCTTACAATTCCTATATATTTTAGAAATTTATTATTCATATCATTTACAAACGAAATAGTTCCCAAATATATGCAAATCCAGGCAAATATTTGTTGGTTTATAATGTCCTTAAGTACTGTTCTACAATTAGAAATTCCATATAAGTGAAATATGTAAAACTAATAAAAATCAAAATATTAATTATATATAGTGGTTTAAATAATTTCGTTGTTTCTTAATGGTTTCTCATTTAATTTTGATCCAGTTATTAAATCTTTCCTCCAAAAATGAAATAAGGACTTCAATTTAATTAATTTATTAATTCATTTATTTTAATACTGGGAATTTGAAGAAAGAAAACATACTCATGACTAAACAATTTTTAAAAGGAAAACATTATGAAAAGGGGCCATATGTGTGATAGAAGAGTCTCATATCAAATGAAACTGCTTCCTCTTAGCACCTTTATTTGCTCCCCCCATGATCCACCATAATGTCCAAAAATACATTTGTGACTGCATGCATGGTATAATTATTATGTACTATTCCAAACCGTTTTTTGTTGTTGTTATTGTAGTCAAACTACTTGATCATGTTTATTTCAGAATTTTTAAATTTGATACCAATTAAGTTTTAATTAAATATACATTTCTAATCCAGGATATACTCTCTTAATTTCAATTGAAGGTCAATTAAAGGTCAAAGCTTGTTACAATTATGATAACAGTGTGACTGCTTGATGTACAAATGTTTTTTTTAGGATTACACTAATTTAATGATTTCATCTTGTAGCATATCTGAATTTTGTATATATGACTTTAAAATTGTGTTTTTATATTTATGCACTTATAATTATGAAATATAGGTAGGTAAATAAAAGTTTTACAAACATATTAAATTACAAAGTTATTAAAAGTGTCTGTTTTAACTTATTTGACAATTTTGTTGAATTAATTATTTTCCCGCCAAAACTCTAGATCTGTTGAGCGATTGGTGCAGACCTATCACATGACTGGTGACCATAAACAGGTTTTTGAATTTCTCTGGGGTGTTGGTCACTCTTGTCCCGTGCTGTAGTAACAGCAGGTAGTGTTTTTAAAGTTATTTACTTTGGGACTTTTGGATTTTCAGTCATGGTATGTTTGACTTTTAGTTTGGTTTTTATCTTGGAAGTTTAAGTATTGTTCAGGATGAGATTTCTGCATTTTTATGTTTTCAGTAATTAAAAACTTGCATGTTTAATATTCTTTTAGAACAGCACAGCACTTAGTAAATTTCCAGATAATATTTATTTAAGAGCCTAAATTCCATAATTTTGTTAAGTCATTTGTTAAATATAATTTGTAAATGTAATTGTAAATGATTTTAATTTTATTGCTAAACTTTCATAATTGAATAGGTTCAGTGGAGATAACTTTTTAAATCAAATTTATGAGTGTTAAAACTATTAAAATATTGAATTAATGCGCCATGATACGTATTAATTAGTGAGAGAATATTTTATGATTTGTGTTTTTGTATTGTTATATGAACACGAGTGTATTATATAAATTGCTAAGGTTTTGTACATTGATTTTGCAGGGCCAGCTGCAGATAGTTGCAAAAATAGAAATGTTTATTCATTTACTGGATAATATCACCTGCTGAATCTTTAAACCTGTATTGTGGTTTATTTTAAAAATATTTCATACGCAACCAAGGTTTACAATCCTGTCTCTCAGACCCCAGGGAGGCATGAGATTTACGATTTATGTTCCCCTTAAACCATGAATGCTATGTCAAAATTGGTTGGAATTGATTCAGTAGATTATGAAATGAAGCTAAAATTGTTGAATTTTTTTTTTCGACGGATGGGAACAATAAAAACAGATAGAAAAAGATAAAATGAGTGAATCAGGTGATCCAATGGATTAATGTACATAGCAATACAGTAACAAATATTTAAAGAAATATGTTTCAAAGAAATAAGAAACAAAATCATTGGTACATGGTTACATTCCATGTAGTATCAGGTCATTTGAGCCATGGCCAGTTGAATCAAATATTAAATCACTTTTTGGATGCTCTGTACACATTCTCTCCTTTCAATTAATGTTTTTTAATGTCATATATTTTAAGGACTTGAAAGAAGCCTCCGTGTCTGTTTTTAAGGGCATCAACTCTCCCTGTTGTACTTCAATAGTCTTTGTACTCATCTAATGAGGGCTTCCACTATTTCCTTGGACTGAAATGACCCCTACAAATACTAATCGCTAAGCAAAGTGCACCATAGAATAATATAGTATACTATAGTATAGTAGTTTAGTAAATCAAAACTTTCACTAATAATAAATCAATGTATTTTAACTGTAGCTTTTAAATTTATATTTCTTTCCTCCAATTCCTACATGCAAAGTTTGGTATTTTCAAGTGTAACAGACTTGTGTAGTATGGTGATGATGAAAAACAACAAGGCTGTTAGTTCGAGTCTTAAACAAGACGGATTTCTTTATTATGGATCAATAGTGATGGAAAAATGAAGTAAAGAAACGCTGTAATGAAATAACAAATTATAAATATGCAGCATAAAACTATAATAGACTTATTGATCAATATACAATCAATATAGCTTTATCAGAATCAAAGGGAGATAATCCAATTATATGAAATATACACAATCAAATCTCCCATTTCTTTAATCAATATATATTTATCATAAAACTTTACAATAATTATCTTGACAATGTATATGTACATTATTAATTATTGTTGCTCATAAAAACAATATTATTCATACCATTCAATGGGAATGGGCCATACTACAGCACATATAAGCTGCATACAATATACAGACAGATCAATATCTACAAATTAACAATGAACAACTTTGTAGATATCTACACTAAGCATAAAATAAAGTTTACTTTAAAAATATGAACAAGTGAGACATTCATGAATTTTTACTATTTACACATAACTTTATATCCACAGTCTCTCTCTCACTATTCATTTACTCAAGGAAAAGTGACTTTAGGAATTAAGTGCAAAATTACAGATTTCACATTTAATAAAATTAGAATAATATATATTAACATTAGTATGAAAAAATTACTTACCATGCAAGTGGAAATATAAGTCTCAATGTCAAAGGTCTTGTATGACAACTTGAAAAAACTCAATCACTATATGATATGACTATACCTTTCCACTGCTAAATCAGAATTAACCAAAAAACACAAAGAAAACTTGGAGGGAAAAACAAAACCCAATCCAAAAGCATAAGACAAACTAAAAAAAACTATGAAATAAAAAGATACAAAATGACCTTGGCCAGAATATAATTACAGCCCTGAGGCTAACTCTGGACCTCTCTGGAAAAGAACAATTTAAAAGTCAATACACTTAACTACAGATTAAATGAATAATTGTATGATTCAGCTGTAGTAGTGTGCTGCAAATAAAAATATATACATAATTAGATCAATGAATAAATGCACATGCAATATGCATTGCTATGCACATGTGCATAATATATAAAAACATGAGTCTGTCACACAAGTATTATTTCTATAATTGAAATTATTGGTAGAAAATCCAAGTTAGGGTTCTATACTTCATAAATAGTTATAAAGTTTCACAGTACATCAATGTACTCTAGTATTTACTTAAGTAAACTATAGTTAATTATTGTAGTTTATAATTAACTATTGTATTTCTTATTGGATCAACTGCCTGTCAACATTTTTTTTTTACTGAGATCAGCAAAATTTGGAAGGCAACATGGCGGATAAAAATAAGTTTTACAAAAAAACCCACACCATCATTATTCTAACTTTTAAACTCACATGGTACTTTGGCATGCCTGTGATTAGATCCCTTGTCAATAACGCGATCAGTTGACAACAAGATGACGAGCAAAGATTTGCATATACTTATTTTTATCACAGGTATTTGAGTCACACGACTTGGGCAGTAGGCCGAGATGTAGAAGGTAGATTATCAGTATAAAAACAGTTTAAGGGAGCCATGTTGCATTTACAGATAAGACTTTATGGAAATAAGCCATTTTAAAACTTTTCATAAATCAACAATTTTCTAAGTACACAAGAAGGGAAAGATCAAAGACCTATGTACGGTACCTTAAAGGTTATGTCTGAAAGTGCTTAATGTATTTCCTCTTCTTTCCTTTTCTTCAAAAGAAGAAATTTCTCGCTTCATTTTGATCCACTCGGTATTACAACATTACAACAGACAACCAACGTCTGATCCTAACAGCAGATCATTGCAATCGCTGTCTCCACATCCTAGACCAGAACGGACAGTTTCTTCGTTACATTTTTAAAGTGTGAATAAGATTATTTATGTGGAAACCACAGACCTCTTTGTGGTTGAGTGTGACAGTGGTAAAGTGAATCAAACTTTAGTGTGATAGTGGTAAAGTGAATCAAACCTTCCGCAATGTTTAAAAATATTTAGAACAATGAAAATAGGGCAAAAGTAAATGCTAGTGAGGATAATTATGTGATTTGTTTCAATTTTCAACGGTAATCAATCCTTTTATTAAGCCCTGTTTTCTCCGAATGAAAATATGTTGATAAATGTGATACACTCTTTACGAGGTTTATATTTGGACTTTGAGAGAGCCTAGTTTTGGCCTATTATTACAGTGGAAAAGTAGAAATAAATCAAATATTTTGTAAACAAGACGTTAATGAAATGACGTCTTGGACATATTAGCCTGTAACAAAGGCAACAAAAAGGCACAAAAGTCCGACTTATCAGTGCTCTATAAAATTCAGTTGTACAATGTGCGAAATACGTAAAACAACAACAATAAGGCAAAAACAAAATAAAATAAAAACAATCATAATTTTGTTAGTTTCTAAATGGCATCTCATATTATTTTGATCCAATTATTTAACCTCTCTGTCACCAGATGAAATCATTAATACAATAATTCTTCACATAGTTTATTTCAATGCTCAATTTTTAAAGAGTAAAAATTCGTCCTTCCATGAAATCTTCTGAAGAAAGACCAATGATGGGAGAATATTGGGTTAATTTTGAAATTGTGAACTACAAAAATAAAGACAAAATATTTATAAATATGAGTGTGAAAATAATTGAGTTGATGACAAAAAAGGTAAAACCCCTTATCTTACATCTTTCGTTGTCATTGATACATAGTCAATGCAAGCTTGGTATAGCTTTGACCTCAAATTACACAAGGATGAACCCGCTCCAAAACTTTTAACCTAGTCACTCATCGGTGAAATGTAAGTCAGATAATTACTTGGGAATTTGTTTTTTTGTTTATTGTTTAACGACCCTTTCGAGAATTTTCACTCATTTGGAAACACCAACACTTGCCGGTGGAAAGCTGCAAATTTTGACCTATACCTGGCACTCAGGGCCATTGAACAGTGAGATATCTTTTTCGTGCCAGCACCTACTGCGACACGGGACCTCGGTTTATACGGTCTTTTTGAAGGACAGGTCTCCACGTCCCATTGAAGGATCAACTCCTTACTGAGCGACTCTAGAGCAGACACTCTTATCACTGCACCTCGCTGGCGACAAATTACTTGGGCATAAAAGTTGTTCAAAACTTAAATGGTTTGGTTTATTGTATTTCCGGGTAAGACTCGTTTTATAAAAATCTCAATGTATGAATGAATACGTCTTGTTTGCTCTTGAAAACCGAACCTCCAACCTCTGGTACCTTCTGTAGGAAAACTATAAAATAATGTATGCAGTTTGGTTGTCACCTACAATATCTTGCAACAATAATGTGTATATTACATGGGTAGTTCGGGAAGTTCGCGGAGCATGTCAATCAATGTAAAACTATTTTCAAGAAATTTAAAATGAGCACATTATCATGTGTACAAAAAAACTAAATATTTTTGTTGATGTGTGAAGTGTCATCTCATGTTGATTTTAAAATTCACATGCTTTGTAACCACGGAGCACACCTGTAACGTGAAAAACATAGCGTCATGAGTTTCGTCTTTCAAAGACTCTTTACCTATACATTTCATAGAGTAGGGCAAAATACACACTCATTAAAAAGTTTCATTATGAATTGAGATTTTTTGCGAACGATTGTTCAAGTATGCATTATTTCGTTTGTCAGTGTTTTAATTGCTTTTGCTATATTACTGTGCTTTTTAAGATCAACTGTTCAACGTTTTCAATTTGTTGTTATGTACTCGTATAACTTGAAAAAAAAAGCTGATGGACCTTTGCATGAAATACTTGTCTTTGGCCACTTAAATGTTTGAAGTCTTTACTACCTGTTGTTCACAAAAGTCGCTGCATTCAAGTTTTAATGCATGTTTTTTATGTTTTGTACTCTCTTTCTGTATAATTTTTATTGAAAGACAATTAACTTTATACTCGACGTAGAATTAATGTATTGTAATAGATGAGACACAGAAAGAAAATCAAACATTTTATGTGAGGAGTGGGTCGAATTAGGTTGGGTAAATATTTTTTTATGAGTTTAAGCTACTTTATTCATAATATAATGGTCTAAGTACATTTGTATACTCATTTAGAAAGACATGTTTTTCCTGGTTGTCCATTCTTTCAGTTTATCAAATGGCAGAATAATTGGTTAAACACTTCATAAACCATGTCAGTTCTTGAAAACGCATCTTACACTAAAATGCCTTTTGAAACGTTGAATTTTTCAAGTTGTTTGAGTCACATCTGTTTCAACACGCTATTTAACACAGGTATCTTAATCATATGACTTGGTAGCAGGTCAAGAGGAAATAAGACGAGGAAGTAGATGATTAGTTTACAGACTGCATTTAGGGAGCCATCTTGAATTTACGGGTAAGACGTTATCTCAGCCATTTTAAAACTTACTCCGATTTGGATATACAGTTATTTTTTTATATCCAAGGAATCATTTCATTCATTTTGCACTAAAACAAAAGCCAGAGCTAGTTCCTGAGAGCAGATCATTAAGATTGTTGCATCCAAGCTTAGGATGGACAGATCATCCCTTGCATTAAAAACTGTAATCTACTGTTTCTATATGACTTATATGTAGACACCATAAACATCCTCTGTGTGACTGAGTAAAATAGTGGTAAATAGTGGAAAAATCAATTAAGAAATGGGATATCATTTTAAGTGAAAAAAGTCCAGTCATTTTCACCTCAGACTTACTTTACACAGGTATTTAAATCACAAGATCTGACGGCAATTCGAGACAGAACATAAATTGTCGGTTCACAAACAGAAAAAAGGCATCTATTGTGAATTTACAGGTAAGACATTGTTTTATAGCTGTCTGCAGTTTTGTGAGGAAAACTTAAAACAGGAAAGATGAAAGCACTCTTTCTCTTGAAGCATGTAAATGTATGAAAGAACAAAATGTACTTTCATTCTTTGAAAACATATATAAATACATACAAATTTTACAAAACCTTCTATTCTTTAATTTATGTCCTATTTTATTTGTTTATCCTACGCACCAGTATAAAAGTTTTTTTTTCTATTATTCTATCAGAAATGGATCCTCTCGACAGAGCTCAAGTACTTCTCCTTTGTAAGCTGTGTGAAAGAGCCGCATTACAGGTTTTTTGTGAGCTTTGTGAAATTAGCCTGTGTAAGGCCTGTGTTAGAGATCACCTTTCCGATTCATCACAAAGACATATAATTATACCATACAAAGATAGATCTCTTGATCCTAACTACCCAAAATGTCCAAATCATTCTCAGAGTCATTGTAACTTTTACTGTTATGAATGTGACATTCCTGCTTGTTATACCTGCATCTCTTCTGGCAAACATCATCAGCATAAAATATCAGATATTGCATTGGAAATCAGTTCCAAAACAGAAGATTTAAAAGGAGATTTGAAAGAACTAGAAAAAAACATATATTTTATTTATGAAGAAATTGCATCTGACATCAAGGCTAAAAAGGCAAACTTGGAAAAACATTGCGAGAAACTAACAACAGCTGTCACTAAACAAGGAGAAGTCTTGCACAGGGAAATTGACAACATTGTCAACAAACAGAAATCTGAAATTGCTGATACGAAAACTACACTCCTGATTGCTTTCAATCAAGCGGAAAATGAAATAAAACAGAAATTATCTGAACTTGATCAGAGTATTCTAGACCTAAGGAAAATACTAGAATCCTGCGATGTTTCCTTAACCTCTTCTTACAAATCCAAGAATGAAGAATTCAGAATTTTACCTCCTAAAATTAATGTTTCGTTTCCATGTTTTTCCTCTCCAAATATCAACGAAGAAAAGCTCCATCAAATATTTGGTTCTCTGTCAACATTTTCCATTTCAAGAGAAAAACATGGCTACCTCTACCTTAAGAAGATACGAGAATCTGCATCCTGCCCTCCCGTCAAGAAACTGCTTGATGTCCCAGAACTCATAACCACCATAGAGACTGGGTATATACAAATCAGCGTTGCTTGTCTAAGTGATGAAGAGATCTGGACACGAGGGAATGTAAATATCATGAAACTCTTCAACCTGCAGGGCAAACTACTGAAGTCAATCCAAACCAAGTCTAGCAACAAACCACGTGATATAGCAGTGACAAGGAGTGGAGAGCTAGTTTATACTGACACTTATGCAAGAACTGTAAACATAGTGAAAAATGAACAGATACAGGAATTGATCAGACTACAGAGGTGGAAGCCTTTCAATGTCTGTTTTAGCTCAACTGGTGACATTCTTGTCACCATGGACAATGATAAAAAAGAACAATCAAGAGTTGTTCGTTATTCTGGCTCTACAGAGAAAAAAATCATTCAGTTTGATAGTGAAGGAATTCCTTTGTATTCATATGATTGCCTCAAATACATGAGTGAGAACAGGAACTTGGATATCTGTGTTGCTGATAATGGAGCTAAAGCAGTAGTAGTGGTAACTCAGGCAGGAAAACTCCGATTTAGATACACTGGTAACCCTTCTACTACTACAGAATTATTTGAGCCTCTGGGTATCACAACAGACAGTCAGGGTCAGATCTTGACATCAGACGGCTATAACTTTTGTATCCACATCCTAGATCAGTACGGACAGTTTCTCCGTTACATTGAAAACTGTCACCTTAACCATCCATTAGGTTTATGTGTAGACACTAGGGACAACCTTTTCGTGGTTGAATTGTTAAGTGGTAAAGTGAAAAAAATCAAATATTTACAAACCATTTATTCATGATATGTTTGCGATAGAAATGACTGTTCTGGACCTTGAAATTTATGAAAAACTGATATGTTGTAATGTAACTGCATGCTTACCTACCAAAACATTGAAAATTATCCATACTACACATATCCAAATAACATGATATCTGTACTTTAAATTACATAAATGTATATATGGTGTCTTCCTTTCATTTTAGGAGAATTAAGGAATTTTAAAAATCATATGAGTACGTTCACCCCCCCCCCCCCCCCCCCGGGGGTAATGAACCCTAACACCCATTCCCCCGAAACAAAGTTTAGAGTTTTGAGAATTGTCTTCTTTTGGGAGGGGGTGGTAGTCAATATTTTTTCAGGTACATTGTCAATTTCTTTCCTTAAAGTCCCCCTTCCTAAATCTATCCTTTTTCTATATCGCAACTAAATTTGAATTTTTAAGCATTCCATGTTGATAAAACTGGTTATGTTTATTTTAACTTCGCTTCCCTCGTTGTGTCTGGCTTGAACTCCAGCATATGTAAGATGGCATGGAATGCTTAATGACTTTGTATCATTTAATAATATGATAAAACAATTATTGTTTTTTTCTCGGTCAATGTGATGATTTAGCCACCTTCGAAGTATAATATTCAACTCGCCCTTTAGGCTCGGTGAATATTGTGCTCCTCAGGTGGCTAAATCATCTTATTGAACTCAGAAACAGGAATAATTTTATAATATCATAGATAAAATTGAGACAGATGTTTATAAAGCCATGAAAATATATGTTTATAATAAGTTTTTGTAAAATTATCTAATTTTATTACTATGAAAATGATTCTTTTGGATTAACTTCTCCTTAATGTCTTACAGGATTTTCCCCATCATTTCTTATTTAATTGTGGCGCAAGATTTAAGCAAAATGTTAAATCACGATTATGATGATTCACAATCATCAGTGATAAATATCAAATTTTATTATTCCATTTTTTTTAGGGTTGGGGTGTGTGGGATTCTTTTTTTGTCGTTGTTAAATTATCATCTACTAGCAATAATAAACTCCCGTATGTTTAGCCTACAGACAGTTTTCACACGTCATACAAACATAGAATTTCTCAATCAAATAAAACTAAGATAATTCTCTAAAAACCAAGCAAATCAAAAATCAAATTTGAAATTTATGTATATAAAATATTGAAAAAAAATATGATAATGTGTGTCGGATAAAATAAATTGATCTTTATAAGAGCATGCTTTTGCCTATCGAATAAGTTAGAGACATAAAAAAAGGAAAGTTAAGTTTTTTTTTTAAATATAAGGTTGACGATGGAAAATCTGAAGTCATCTTGTTTGTAAGATAGTTAAGTTCTAAGTTGACCGTTATCCTCTATTGACAATAAACATCCAAATTTGGGGAAAAAAAATTGGTGAGTATTAACTCCAGACCCACATTATTTTGTTATCGTGCGTTTTAGTGATTCGTTGGTTGAGCTTTACTTTTATTCTAAAAAAGATAATTTTTTTTTATTTAAAAGGACATTTGTCCAGGAACTTGATTAAGCGGAAGCTGCTTTTCACCAAAGGCTCTAAATTAAAAAAAAAAAAAACAAACAGCAAAATGTATATTCCGTTTACAGTCTTCAACATTACCTTTTTCATTTTCTTTGGCTATCATTTTAATACTTTCCATGAGATCATATGTACTAAGATCAGTGACTTTGTAGTTTATAGAGGTGTTGTTTATGGCTCCCGTATATACACAGACACAATATGGCTGTTATACCACCACATCCAGGCATAGAGGCTTAACTGAACTGATACGTGTAACAAGATAATACACGATAAAGTTTTTTTCTTTCTAACAGTAGAAAATATACTGGTTTTGGTCTGGTACTTTGTCTATCCGACAAGCTGTCCTAAATGGTAAAATAAGAAGATAATATGTGATGAAGTCGGTACTTTCCATTAAAAATAAGATAAACTCGTTTTGGCATGGTTGCCTGTATGTCCTAGTAGATGTTTATTAAAAGTATGTCTTGAATATTAACCCCTCCCTCATCCCACTCTCCATATCCCTTCACTGAATTCTGTTTTAACTCTAATATGTTATTGCTTATGACTGAAAGATGTGTTAATATTTGATTCAAGGTCGTATTCCAAAGGTTAGGGTCACTTATCGATGAGAAACTGAAAGGGTGTCCATAACAAATGTTTTAATCAGACTGACTTTAAACTGGAGAATCTTTTTTTCCGATAACCTACAAATTGTTCTTAAATCTTGAATTAAGGTCACAGCCGAAGGGTTAAGGTCATTGGATAATTAACTAATGAAACTGGGTCACACGTTTGGCTTCTTAATTCAACAGATTTCAATTTTTTCTATATATACTAGCTTAAGTACAAGTACTGTAATCATATCTAAGCATCTTTTTATCTGGTTTTTGTCTGCTAGTTCAAATACAAGGATATATATGGTTTAAAAAAATACAAGAAAAGTATTGGATATAAATGTGTTAATTCAATATATTGCTATTTAGTTGATATAGGAAATTGCGCTACATTTTGATCGCATATCTTCAGAAATGTTATTGTTGATGGCTTAAACTGTGAATAAAAACCAGCCTCAATCTGAATCAACATTTCCATTCAAATTCATTCCTTGAAGGTAATAATGCAGAACTAGCTGTTGATTGAGTGCATTGTAGCAAAACAATCCCAATTTATTGAAAAAAAACTACTGCAATTAAAATTTATTGTTGATTAATGGACATGTCCTCAAGATCAAAGTGTGATTTTCAAAACCAAAAAAAGGTAGGTCTCAAGGTTAAATTTTAAACTTAATCATTACTTATCCAGTTATCCATCAAACATCAACATGGGCTCTCAATGACCTCTACTCTGTATGTGTAACAAAACGAAAAGGATTGTACATATTGTATGAAGCTGTTGTAATTCTATATTCGATAAAAAAGGTAAAGGCACTTTTATATTTGACCTCTGTTAAATTGACATTTACACTAATGTATCTTACTATTGAACATTCACAATTTGTTACCATATACTATTTATTAAAGGAAAGGTTGACTGTTATTAAGGCTGACTGATATTTGTCTTTGGTCAATTTATATTATGAGAAAGTTTTTTCATGTAAATATATAATTTGTTATAATTGCTTCACATAATTCACTGCATTTTGCTGGTGTTATATACTTCATTCTGCACATCCAAGTTATATTTAATGAACATTGTCATTTATCATGTTTATATCACCTGATTTGGTAAATTGTATTTCCAACAAATTTGATAATAATAATAAAACATCATACACTTATTGCACTTTCTGGGGAGAGAGGAAAGGAATATTTCCTGTTGATATGATCTTATGACTTATGCCAAATACATGGAAATGCATACTTTATTGCACCCTATTTCATAATGCTATTTCTTATTTTTAGTTTATTGAATAGTCGATGTCTTTGGTTGTAGCCTTGATACACAATGCAAATGGTTAAAACACATTGATCTCAAGAATACATGTTATTCGAACAGCTGTTCAAGAGACAGCAGAAATTAAATCACGCGACCTTGTAGTAGACCGAGATCTAGAACCAAGACCAGGAAGTAGATTGTCAGTTTACAAACTGCTGTCAGGGAGCCATGTTGGATTTGTTTTACAGGTAAATAGTAATTGATATTAATTTTCCATTTAAATACGTTTAGGACATTCACTAATTTCCAGAAAGGATGAATAAAACAAAACTACTTATTCAAAACGACAAAATTAATAACAAGATAGTGTTGATAGGTAAATGAAAATATTCCCTATCTTCTTAAAAACGCTTTTGACACCAGAGAAATACAACGCATTTAACCACTCATCTAATTTAATTTTGGTAATACAATAGGATCTGGCGCATTTATAAATCAAACTGAGATAATACAAAAGCCTAACCGAAAACCAACTTTATTAATGGACTAGTTAGCATGAAACTCTGCTCCTACAAGTAAGAGCCTCGGTTATTTTACGTTTCCTACGCTCCTTATGCGGCGCCAAGTCAGTAGTACCTCTAACATGCTGGAGTACACGAAACGGTTGCTATTCTTTCCATTGTACTGAGCAGTCATGAAATCGGACAAACTTTAAAAAGAAGAAAAATACAGAAATTTGATAAAAAGTTTGACATTTTTCATGGCATATCATATAATGATTTGTTGAGGCAAAGTGTTGAGAATCTAAGGCGGTTCCAGTAGGACAAAATTTCTAATAGTGTTTCCAAAAATGATAAGATTTTCAGCTTCTTGCGAAAATTGCTTTAAATATCCCAATTTAAGATCTGCAAAGAAAAAAAAGTCAATAAGTAATAAGTTGGCTGTCTGTTTATTTTAAATTCGTTTTGGAATGTAGCCTGGGGAGATATGAGAACAGAAAAGACCCTTGAGGTTTTTTAGGAGAATTGCTGACAATGGACCCCTGGGATAATTCAGCAACAGGAAATGATGTGGAGTTAAGTTCAAGATGAAAATGTATTTTTAAGCGTTTCAGAAATCTATGTTTATGATTCGGAAGACTTTAAAGTATGCACCGGAATCATTTCTAAAAAAAAATTACTTATGCATGTCTTATTTTTTATTAGCAATAATACATTCATCATTAAACATCTAGTTTAAAAAAATGTTGAAAAAATATTCATAGATTTTGTCTACTGTACATCTTTCCAAATGCTGTGCAAGGTGCATTGATAACTCTTCATGCCTCGTGCTTATTGAAATTTCCTTCTCAACGTAGAGAATACTCGCAGGTTTCTGGAAATCCTCTTTATTATGGTCGTTACATTTATGTTTGTTTGTATCACTTTGATAGAAACTATACGTAATTATCACCAACGTCAATATAGTCATCATATTTATTAATTGATATTCCTTAGCAATTAAAATGGATTGTGTTTATTTTTTATACATAAATATATCATTGAAAGTCTTTGTAAATGTTATATAGCTATTCAGATTTTATGATTGGGAAACTATGATTGGGGTGTCTAATCCCTTGAACTATTGTCAATCAAATATGTTAAAAAATGTATCAAACTATCTAGTAATAATTGAATATTCTAAATATACGTGGACTTATACAATGGGTGATGTCATTGATTTAAAAAAAAATCCTTGATAACAATCTCCATACAAACTTTTCAAAAACATTTAAACCAATTCATTACATTCTTTACAGATTTGAATCTAACACATTGTTTAAAGTGCCCTTTTCTAATTATTATTATTGTTTTGTTATAAAACAGTGTCACCTGATCTTGTGACATGGACCCCTTGGAAAGAGCTCAAGTACTCCTCCTTTGTGACCTGTGTCAAACAGCTGCATTACAGAGTCATTGTGAACTTTGTCATGTAAGCCTCTGTATTGACTGTGTAGGGGAGCATCTCTCTGATTCATCTAAAAGACATAATGTTGTACCATACAAACACAGAACTTCTACTCCTAACTACCCAAAATGTCAAAACCACACCCAGAAACATTGTGAACTTTACTGTGAGAAATGTGACATTCCTGTCTGTTCTACCTGCATCTCCACTGATAAACATCAAGGGCATAAATTTACAGATATCTTACAGAAACCCAGCTTCATTAAAGAAATTTTAAACAAGGATTTGAAAGAACTAGAAAAAAGGATATACCCTACTTATGTAGAAATTGCATCTGATTTAAACTCTGAAAAAGTAAACTTGGATAAACATTACGAGAATCTGACAACATCTATCACCGAACAAGGAGAAGACTGGCACAGAGAAATTAACATCATTGTCAACAAACAAAAATCTGAAATTGATGAGATGAAAAATAAACACCTGGCTGCTCTGAATAAAAAGGGAAAAGAAATTGAACAGATTTTATCTGATGTAAAACAAAGTTTGTTTGATCTGAAGAGAGTACTAAACTCCAATGATGCCACTCTAATCTCTGGCTACAAATCCAGGAATGCTGAGTTCAGAACTTTACCTCCTAAATTCACTGTTTCATTACCAAGTTTCTCTCCTCATCAGATCAACACAGAACAGCTCCATCAAATGTTTGGTTCTCTTTTACCGTTATTAATTTCAACAGAAGACTATGGCTACACAATAACGACACCAGAAGCTGTATCCTGTTCTCCAGTCAAACCACTGCTTGATGAGCCAGAGCTCATCACCAGCATAAACACTGGGTATGGTGATCTACGCAGTGCTACCTGTCTCAGTGATGAAGAAATCTGGACTCGTGGGTATGACAAAATCATGAAACTGTACAACCTACAGGGCAAACTACTGAAGTCAATCCAAACCAAGTCAGGGAACATACCATATGATATAGCAGTGCTTAGGAGTGGAGATCTTGTTCATACTGACCCTGAAACAAACACCGTAAACTTAGTGAAGAATAAACAGATACAGGAAGTGATCAGACTACAGGGATGGAGACCTTACAATATCTGTAGTACCTCCTCTGGTGACCTCCTGGTTATCATGGTCAGTGATGATGATAAACAATCAAAAGTTGTCCGTTATTCTGGTTTCAAGGAGAAACAAACCATTCAGTTTGATAGTAAAGGTCAACCTCTGTATTCCACTGATAATCTAAAATATATCAATGAGAACAGGAACCTGGATATCTGTGTGGCTGACTTTGACGCTCGTGCAGTAGTTGTGGTTAATCAGGCAGGAAAACTCCGATTTAGATACACTGGTCATCCCTCTACTTACAAGCAACCATTTTATCCAACCGGCATCACAACAGACAGCCAGAGTCAGATCCTGACAGCAGACTTTATCAACCACTGTATCCGCATTCTAGATCAGGACGGACAGTTCCTCCGTTATATAGATAACTGTTATCTAGACCGTCCATGGGGTTTATGTGTAGACACCAAAGATAACCTTTTTGTGGCCCAGTTAAGCGGTGGAGTAAAAAAAATCAAATACATGTAAACAATAGGTTTTAAATAATGACAAATTTGTGATGGAATTCTTTATTCAGGAGCCAAAATCACAAGAGGATATTTAAGAAATAAGCTATGCACTGGTGTAAAAATGCCTTGTTCAAATAAAGGTATATAAAGGAAAACAATTGCATATGTAAATATTAATCTTTGATTCAAGTTCATTTTCTAGTGCTCGTGTGTGTGTGTGTGTGTGTGTGTGTGTGTGTGTGTGTGTGTGTGTGTGTGTGAGAGAGTGTGTGTGTGTGTGTGTGTGTGTGTGTGTGTGAGGGTGTGTATGTGGATAATATTAGTACCAATAATAATGAGGCAAAATATGAATTAAAATTATTAAAAATAATTGTTATCATTAATATTCTACCCAAGGTTGAGATGACTGCTCAGTTATAAGATTTAAATTGGAATAAACACCCGAAAGCTAATTGTAAACACTATGTATATTTGCGAGCATAAAAAAATGAAAAGAATTGTGAGCACAGTGTATGCATTTTCGTGTTGACCCTCTGTGCACTGCACACTGGAGAGTTCTGATTCTATTGTATGTTTGATTTAGTAAGGGTGATCTGCCCTTAGATTGTAAATGCATATAAATTAAAATCTATATCATATATATGTCACCTGTATGTAATTAATCCAATGATTTTAATTTGCCAAGACTTATATTAATTAAACACTTTATTTCCATGAAATTCCCATTTGTATCAGAAGTGATTTGTGTTCATTATACTCTTGTTTTTAAAATTCCTGCGAGAATTTTTCATAAGTGTATAAAATCCGTAAATGAGATTGCTGTTAACCACAGAACTGTCCTCTAAAAAAATTATAAACAGTACAATCTGTTTCTGCAAAATGCTTACAGATGGCAGAGTTTGCCTCTAATGGTCAGTGCCAATGCAGTAAGTGTTAATTTATGAAGATCAGGGAGACTTAAACAAGTATGCCAATCTTATTGTATTCCATGACATGCATAGAACAGAGTTATTTTCAATTATTGTATAAATATTTCAATGATTTTTCTATTCCTTATGTCTGGTATGCATTTCTTATTCTTAAGACCAAATTGTACATAAGTTACTTTTCTACTTATAAATACAGTTGAACTTCATTATCCCAAACTTTAAGTCACTCTCTGTAAGCATCAAAATGGGCTGAAAATTGGCTCTCATCGATTTGTTTAAACTTGGTGACATAATTACACTATAAGCCCAATTTACAAAAATAGAATTGCAAATGATCAATTGGCATTGTTTCCATGGCAACAGGTCACCTATTTTGCACATATGTTGGAAATAGCAACAAAAGACATTTCACTCCATTAAGTACAGTTCCACGTAACAATCAGGCAGCCTATATATAAAAGGTGATACATGGAGGTTCTCAGAAATTAATGATTTTTCACTCACAGTTTTTTCTTGGGCTATAAGCTGTGTATGTGGAAGGAAAAATATTTTGGGTCATTGTTACTATGGAAACCTGGACAAAGAAATTTCCCTAGCAACCGCCTAATTTTTCTTTGTAGATTGACGAAATTTCACTCATTTTGAAGGCTTTATACGAAACGTAAATATAGTAATTTTTTTCTCTTATTTAGTGTTATAAGAAAGATACATTTTTAAATTGTTCTGTCAACGTAATAAAAAGAAATTACATTCTCTAATATATTTGCTATAGACACAGATAAAGATACATGTTTCCCATTTTTTGCTGATTCAGCATTTTGCTTAATTTTAGCAAAAATGAAGTCGATATTATTCATTTCACCATCTTAATACAACTGTTTCATCTATTTCGTGTAAAACCACTGGAAAGCCTCCCTTACAATTTGAAATAAAAAGTTTTGCAAATTTGAAAATTCCTATCTGTTGCTAAGCAACAGAAATGGATTGTTTGATTAACTTAAAAAGGAGAAAATGAAAAGCATAGCAAGAAAAATCGTATAAATTGTAATAATTGAGTACCAAAAACAAATTTTAAAATAGTAAAATATACAGTATTCTTCCTTGTATACTAAAAACTATTTTACAATAAGCTATTTCCATAGCAACATCAAATTTTCCTTAGCAACGAAGCATTGAAAGTTATTTATAGCACATATTCATCTAAGTTTTTAAAAGATTATCTGATTCTTATTGTTGAATTGCTATTGCCCAGAATCGACATTGTCAAAGTGGTTTTTCAAAGGTATTTTTGAGTAAATTCATCCATAGCAACAGAACTTGTCTACATAGCAACAAATGTATTTTATAAAGAATCAGTATGTAGCAATTCCTCAACAAAAATCTTTGTCTTTAAAAAATGTTTACTAGGCAAAAACATTCTACTAATGGGAATGAATATTACTTACTTGACTTTTGACTGTGGTATTTTTTTCACTTTCAAATAGTAAATCAATAACCTATTTTTCATGCTAGCGGCTTATTGAGACTCTAGAGTCTTAAAATTTCTTGCAAATTCCTGAAAATTTTGTATCATGACCAATATTTGCAACGAAAACTGGATAGTCTAACTTCTGATAAGTTTAAAAAAAACAGTAATCTCGTTATAAAAAAAAATGGTTTTTTGATAAGGTCTACTTGTGATAATGCAGACCTGGTGAGGTATTGGTTGACCGAGGCCGAAGGCTGAGGTTAATCAGTTCCTGACAAAGTCCGTATAGTAACAAGTAGAGCTAATTCAAAAGTCAATAACTGTATTTTAAAGTATCACGATTTTTTTTTTTTTTTTTTTTTTTTTTTTTTTTACATTTTTCACAATCCACCTATTTTCTTCATCAAATATATATTAACGCCTATAATATACTTAGTATTTTGTTTTGCAGCAAGATATCATAATTATTTTTCAACAGTTTAAACTGTTTAACAAAGGTGGAAAATAGTATATTAAAACTATTAATATTCAAACCATTTACTTATAAGGAGCTTAGACGGTTCGGTACTGGAGTCTGTGCGCAATTTGACTGGCAGATAAAAATGTAAGCAAAGCTATCAAGATTGGCTAAGACAGAAAACCCAAATAAACAAACTCTTTGTAGCGAGACTTCTGTCTCATGAATTACAAGATAAAAAAAAAAACTTATTTTAATGAGATAACTACATATGTAAAATGTTATAATGAGATACTAACTCGTGAACAAGATAGCTAATTTATTATTTAAAAAAATGACTAACTCGTTGAAACGTTTTAACAAGATAACAAACTCGTTGTAACGAGACTACTAACTCCTGGAGAATGAGATGAAAAAATTATTATAATATGATACCAACTCGTTATAAAAGCAAGATAGGAAATTCATTTTATTGGGGTAACTAATTCATTATTTAAGGAATGAATTTAATAGCTCCTCCATTTATACTGTACGGTATAACCTGCGTTGGGACAGTTTCCGCTTTATAAACCGTGAAGCGGTTAATAAAAAAGCGTAAACTGTTCCAACCCAGGTTATACCAGTGTAACTTGGGCAGCTATTAATTAAATTCATTTCTTATAATTTAATTTTCCATTATTAAGACAATAAGGCAATTTTCCTTAAGAAATGCCTTCAAATTAAGCATATTTTAAAAGTACGTCAAGCCAAATAATATGTTTTTGGCGTAAGTCATGTGACGTAGGTAACATGTGTTATACGGTATAAACTACGTCTTTTATTCTATCAAATGACGTGTTACAACCGGAATTAAATTATTACGAGATAACTATCTCTCAATTTTTATTATTTACTAGTCTAGTTATGACAGTATATTTACATGTAATAACTAAAAAATATTTTTGATAAAACGAGCTTAATGAAAAAAATAAAATACACTGAAAAATAGTGATAGTCTTGTTTCATGAAATAAACAATTAAAGTTTGTGCTTTAAGACCCTTTCACAATTGGCGCACGAGCACTTTACAACACTTTGCGATCAGAATTTTTTTTAGATTCGCATGAGCTCTCGCATACGTTGCACGATGTCTCGCATTCGTTGCATGCGCTTTAGTGGTCGCATCAAGTCTCCTCAAAATAGTGGACATGCACACTATTCAGATGCGACCAAATGCGATCCAAATTATCGCAATGCAACGCACGAACATTAGTACGAACGTCTTACAACGTTTTGTGTACTCATAAGAGTGATGCACGATTTTTAAAGGTCGTAAGATGAATTGCAGCTGTCTATGCGTGTGTTTTGCGACCATGAGAATGTCGCCCAGCGTGTCTCATGTAATCTTGCAACGTTTTACTGTCATTCATGATTTATCAGCTTCAATTTGCCATGCAGATATTATATATATACACTATATATATTATATTTATACACCGAAACACTTTGCTGTCATTACAATAGAGTCAATAATTAATTACGCACATTCTAAACGATAACAATATTAGAAGAAATAAGAAAAATCGCAGCACTGTGTCGGGTTCTCTAAATTTAGAATTGCGTGGCTGATGGATGTTGCCTAAATGCACTCGATCGAGTATTCGTACCATGGAAAATATGATCGCAAGAGCGCCGCACGTCAATCGCATTGGCGTAATCGTCCGATCACCTGATCACTCGCGCGATCCTATCGCATTATCTTACAACACTCGCTTTCATTGTATATTAGTCGCATATAGACGCAAGATATATCCCAAGATTTAATGCATTTGCATCGCACAACGGTCGCTTTAGATCTTGCGAATTTCGTACGAACACATTTTCATTTGCGAATATTTCGGCAACAGTTTACGATCCAAATCAATTTTTTTCGGTTGCACGAATATTTTGTCGCGTCTGCTCGTGCGCTAATTGTGAAAGGGCCTTTAACTGTAATCTAAGCTTGTTTTATATCTCCCACTTGGTTCAATACGCAAGAGATGCTCTAGGTACGAATAATTTCTAAAAGGAGGCAAGCTACTGACAAACAAGTTGATGGAATAAGAATATCAACAGTCTTCTTTATAGTCATAATTTCACAAGTTCTATGATCGATACAATGACTTTGTCAGCAAATGCAATCTATCTTTGAATTGTATGCTGACTGAACCCATTCATAGTAATTTTTTTTATTGATTATATCCTTAATATTCCTTGGTATTAATATGATCTCTTGTTATGGCGCCTCTCTTCTCCTGGGTGGTCATGATTTGAAAAAAAATTAAATTAAAATTAACTG